CTTTTCATCATTACTGTTTCATTAGAAACACCGACGCAGCTCACACTAGTTTTTAGCTAGTTATATCTTTTTATAATTCATGATTTCATATAGTTCTTTCGCACTCAAAAATGAAAAAAAACAAAAACGTTCCAATAAAGTACTATCATGTGATATCTTGTACACAAAGAAACGAAAGATTATCTAGAGACTGAGGGACCACGTGACTGTCTCTATCCCTGAAAAATATCACGTGATGTCAAGCTATGAACTACGTACAGTTCTGTTAGAAATGTTGGATGTCTACCTTAGTGTCAGCCTGAGAAAAAGACGTCTGTTTTCTCRGGCCACATTTATGTCATGCTATAGACCAAATTCAAAACTCGCACCGATGTGAGGCTTAAGTTGTAAACAAAGGGATCTGGCGTGACTCAAAGTAATCTGGCGTGATTCAAATGTCACGAATCACGCCAGATTCCTTTGTTCGCAACTTAAGCCTCACATCGGTGCGAGTTTTGAATTTGGTCTATGATGAAGCGAACATGCACCCAAGGACTCAGTCCACTGCCAGTTTTCAAGCCGAGAAGAACTAGGCACCAGACGGTAGAAAAATCCAAACTGGCGGATGCTTACAAAACCTGAGTAATTATTATTTGGCAGTGGTACTGCGCGAGTGCTGTTTCTGATAACAACTAACTTTTTTATTTCAATCTTCCTGTTGATTTCGAACTTAGATTAAATTCTGAGCTCGATTTTTCTGGATTTCCTCAAGAATCGTCTTTTTTTCTCCTCAATGCTTAATCTATATAACCTTGTGAATGGCACTCATGTTCTTTAAAAACTAGTATTTAATAATGTTCTTGAGCAAATACCTGCCTGCGTGTGATTGGCGCAATATGACTTCCATCTAGGAAGACACAAACTAGGTCTCAGCCCCTCTCGGCTTGAAATTAGGTAATTAAATCGAACCAGTTGCTAGGCAACATGGCAAAAGATCAAAATTTGTAAGGGGGTACTATGAGATTAGACTGATTCCATAAGTCGTAGTTTAGTTTTTGCTTCTTTGTTCCTGGTGGTCGGTTAATTACGACCCGTGAGCGACAAAAAAAAAAAAAAAAAAAAAAAAAAA